GTGTTATTGTTCTTATTATTATTATTATTATTATTATTATTATTATTATTATTATTATCATTATTATTATTATTAGTATTATTATTATTATTATTATTATTATTATTAAAGAATAATAATAGTCTCTATTATTATTATTATTATTATTATTATTATTTAAAAATGTAATAACAAAAACATCAATAATGCATCATAATGCTGTTATAATAACAGCATGATGCAAGAAACTAATGTTTAATAATAGAAACTATTATTATTATTATTATTATTATCATTATTATTATTATTATTAAAGAATATTAATAACAACAACACCAACAATAATGCATCATATTGCTGTTCTTGTAACAACATGATGCAATAAACTAATGTTTAATAATAGTAACTATTATTATTATTATTATTATTATTATTGAATAATATTAAGAACAACAACAAGACTGCATCATATTGCTGTTACAACATGATGCAAAAAAAAAATGTTTAATAATAGTAACTATTATTATTATTATTATTATTATATACATAAGAAGAAGAAGAAGAAATTGTACCTTTTTTTAAACACTGGTTTCTGTCATTATATTCGTAAAACACTGTAACACGAATGCTTGTGGCTTATTGCTTTTATAGTGCAAATGATGTACATAATGTGTGCCGTATGTTTGTTTGTGTATGTTTTGCAGGAATCATCAGAACAGCGCTGGCAGACATGGATCGAGAGGCGAGAGAACATTACTCAGTGGTGATTCAAGCCAAAGACATGGCGGGGCAGGTGGGAGGGCTGTCGGGCTCCACCACCGTCAACATCACGCTAACCGACATCAACGACAACCCACCCAAGTTCCCTCAGAGTGAGTGATGGGAAACCAGTGTGAAAACAAAACTGAGTGGCAACATATTGCTGTGAATGGACATCAGACATCTGCTCCAAAACCTAGTGAACAACCTAGTGAGGCAGTATTGCTGCCTATGTACAGAGTTCCAAATCTGCCACAAATGTATGCTGGTCTTTTACTGAAGGTCTTGGGGTTGTTTTAAGATACCGCATGATATTCACTCCTGAACACTCCATCCTGACTGAATCTTAAGCGAATATGTGAGAGATTGAAGGACTTCTTGATTATTATGCTTTAGATCTTGGCTAAAAGAACCGAAATAGCTTGACCTCGCTTTTCTCCAATTCTTCATCTGCTGCAAAAACCCTCATTACTGTTTGAAGGTGAACCATACAGTATGCTGTTGTAATGCACTTTTTTCTCTCTCAAAGTAGGTTTTCACACATTTTCCAGACAGAACACTGTTCGTTTTCTCAAGGGCTTCTTATGGATACTACATAATTAGATGGAAGAGATGGAAATATACCTTACATACTTTAGAGTCTCGTTATCAGATGACTCATATAAATTGTGCATTGCAGTGTAATTTTTTACCATTAATTAGCATGAAGAGAATAGAGGCAGGACCAGCATGTTATAGTGTGTAAGCATCCAATTATGAGACTTGTGTCTTGAGTTTTTTTAGTCTTATTTTTATCCACAGAAACAGAGCACCACAGCAGGGTTCTGGAAGTAAAATCACATTAATTTCCTCCTTAGAAAAAAGTATTTTTAAGAATAATGTAGAAACCTTTTAAGACTTTGAGCTCTGAGATTAAGCAATGGCACAGTATGTGCTTCTGCAGATGCCTTCTGTGGTCTTTAAATGAGTCCACTTTATTAAATATTACTTTATTTACCAAAATCTATGTGAATAGCTACACTGTTTATTTAGTTATTTTAGTTTTATTTTATTTATGTATGTATTTTATAGTAAATATTTATTTAATTTATGTATTTTTAGTAAAATATTTATGTTATATATTTAATAAATATATAATGTCAAATTAAATAGCAAACATATTTAACATTGCATATGAAGTATGTACTCATTTATGCTGTGCACTGTATATATATATATATATATTAGTGCTGTCAATGGATTTAAAAAAAAAAACTAATTAATCGCACATTTTTCTGAAATTAATCGCGATTAATCCCACCTAACATTAAAGTTTTTAAATATACTTTTATATTTCAATAATTTCACATTCAATCTTCAAGTTAATGTACAAGCAACATAATATTTACCTGTGCCCTTCAGCAGAAATATACAGAAATTGAAATTGAAGTTATCAAACATTAAATTCTAAATTAAATATAGGTGAATCCTTAAAGCTATGCAAGTTATTTATTCCCATTTCTTCTTTGTTCTTTGATTAACAGACATCACAGCAGCTGGTTATTAGGTTATTTTGACTGCTATTTCTTTAAGAGCTGCCGCTGCTGAACGTGACGCGGATCTGACATGCATCAACTCTTTTTTCTCTTAAAGTCTCTACTAATGAACTGACAAGTTTAATTGAGTGTGTTAGATGAGTGAGACAGTGCTGGGCTGCTCCAGGACAGTTTTGAAAACCATTTCAGAGACATGTTCTTAAATGTGACTCATATAAAATATATTACATGCCTGCACAGTTTTAAGGCAGCTTTAATTGCATTTTTGATAACTTTATGACTTAACTGACCACGGCATTGCATGCACGTAGTTTATTTCGCACTTTGATATGAAAGGATACAGGCTACAGAGTGCGCCGGCGCCTTTGTGCGTGCAATTGAAGAGCACGCGCTGTGAGCACAGTACCGTTTCTGCGCTCGCTTGACTCGCGCCTGGCGCTGAAGTGAAGTGGAGCGTGCGACTGAAACATCTCCCGTTCTCAGTCATTCAGCGACTGAATAAATGCACTTCTTGTCAAGAGAAAAAGTGACAGAAGCACCCCCAGTGAGTGGGGTGGCCAACCCTAGCCCTGCCCCTGCGTTAATTGCGTTAAATATTTTTAATGCGTTAAACTGAAAAAATGTATCGCCTGCGTTAACATGCTAATTTTGACACCACTAATATATGTATGTGTTACATATACACATACATAACACATTTGTATGGTTAATTTTTATTCTTTTATCATTTGCAGCAGTTATTAGTATTTTGCTTTTTTCAAAGGTTTTTTGAAATCCCAGAAATACTTTGGAACAATAGTTGCGCTCTATTGCATCCAGCTTTTTTAATCAGGTGGTGTGGGACTGTGGTTGTGGCTGTTTTTGGGGTCTGACAGCCGTATTGAAATCCTTCCAGAGTAGCTCAATGTGGCTTGTTCAGAGGCACAGCCGGAGAGAGGCATCATGATAACTATGATTCAAAAATACCATCCAGCCAATCGAACAAACCTCCATGCGGGCTTTTGTGTGTGTCTGCAGAGAATTACCAGGTGTTTGTCCCAGAGTCGGCACAGGTGGGGAAACCAGTGGGGAAGATCAAAGCCAACGATGAGGACATCGGAATCAATGCTGAGATCAAATACAGCATCCTGAACCCCGAGGGGGCCGGAATGTTCTCCATCTCCACAGACAAAGACACTAGAGAGGGTGTGATCACGCTGAGAAAGGTATTGCTGTCATTTCTATTGGTGTTTGCCAAGGCAAGCATCACTACTATTATTGCTCATTCTAGGGTTAGAGGCTTTCCTGAACCCTTAATAATAAGTGGCTGGTTCTTCAACTATGGGTACTTTTGGTCTTGTGGACTTTTATTTTATTTTATATGAAACGGCCTACTCAGTGATTTCTATCTTTTGCTGTAGTGTGTCAGTAGGAAATATCAGTTTATCGGTTTCCAAACATTCATTTTGCCATTAATTTTAACAATCCAGTGAGATGTTTGTTTGCACAAGGAGAAGAAACAGAACAAACTGAGACAGACTTAATCCATAAGAACTGTGGCAACGTCTCTGAGATGCTTAAAGAAACCTACCTGCAAAGCTACCTGAAAACTATGCGCAAGTGCTCCGAGGGCAAAAGCTGCTTTAAACGCAAAGGATGGTCACACCAAATGTTGATTTAATTTAGTTAATAGAAGTTAATTGATAAAGAAAATCTATTTATGACATTATTTTTGATAGCATCCTCATTTTGCAGCATTTTTACAGAAGTGCCTAAAACTTTTAACAGCACTGGTGCTTTGCAAGCATTTCTTGAAGCATCTTGGAGACGTTGCCACAGTTCTGGATTTAGTCTGTCTCAGTTTTGTTCTGTTTCTTCATGCTATTCCAGACAGACTGGATGATGATGAGATCAGATCTCGGTGTGGAGCACTGGCTGTTGTCAGATTTCTTGTGCAAACAAAAAAATCTGAAATAGCACAAAGTTTCCTGTGAGGGGTAGGTTTAGGGGTAGGGTTGGTGTAGGGTAATAGAATATACGGTCTGTACAGTAGAAAAAGCATTATGCCTTTGGAGAGTCCCCACAAGGATAGCAAACCAGAAGTGTGTGTGTGTGATAAAAAAATATAGAAAGGGTTTTCAGTTTTTCACACTTTTCACTCAAGTGTTTCTTGCAGACCATCAACAAAAGAACAAAACAGGATGGCATAGTTATCCAAGTCAAGATGTTGTCAAAATAGCATAATATCTGAATCTGCTCACACCGAAATCACTGACAGATATATATATATATAATCTGTCCGGCCAGACTGGGTCAAGCAGGCGTCTGGCGCTAGATGCTCATTAATGGTCTCTGTTCTGTATTCTGAGCTGCTTCAATTCCCCACTCAGTCCCGGGGGTCAGGAAAGCTGTGAATTCAGTGAATACTGAGTTTTCCAAAAGCCAGTCTTGTAAATAAATGCCTGCCAGATCTGTCCGGCGAGACGGCGGTGAAGGTCGGGCAGGTTTAATGGTGTTTACAGACGCAAACCCATCTAGAGAGTGATTTAACTTCTGCACTCTGGAAGCAAAAAAGACTGACCTCAATATAATCTCAGCTCGTAACTTTTTGGAGTACTTGAAACCACTAGAAGCCACCAATAAAGTGGCTAAAACTGACTGAAAGCAAAGTACACTGCCATTCAAAAGTTTGGGATCAGCAAGATTTTTTATGTTTTTTTTAAAGAAATATCTTTTGCTCATCAAGGTTGCATTCATTTGATCAAAAATAGAGAAACAACACTAATAGTGTGAAACATATTATTACAATGTAAAACAACAGCTTTCTATTTTATTATATTTTAAAATATAATTTATTCCTTTAATAATAATTTATTATTGATGCAAAGTTGAATTTTCATCAGCCATTACTCCAGTCTTCAGTGTCACATGATCTTTCAGAAATCATTCTGATTTATTATCAATGTTGGAAACAGTTGAGCTGCTTATTTGTATTTTTTTGGAACCTGTGAAACTTTTTTCAGGATTCTTTGAATAAAGAGTTTACAATAATCATTTAAATGAGAGTTTAATTTAGAATATTTTTTTTTATTTTCGGTTTCATTTTAATTACAGTTTTGTTTTGCTTTTTGTAGTTTTTGTTTAATTTAGTAATACGATATAAACTAAATGAAAATTAGAAATGAGCTGAAATAAAAACGTGACATTTTATTCTATTTCAGTTTTTTTAATTAAAGTACTACATTTATTTTGTTCTTTTTTGTAAGGTTTTAGTTAACAGATTGATTTGTGATCCAATTATGTATGTTTGTTGCAGTGTTATTTTGGTATCATATTTATAGCCTATATTTATCATAGTTTTTGTTACTATTTTGAATTAGATTTTATTTTTAGATTTGCTGTTTTTATTTTAATTGTAGTTAAATTGTTGGTATTCAAATGTCTATATGGTTTTTGTACTAATTTTAATATCATTTTTTTATTTAATTTTATTTTAATATGTGTGGCTATTTGTGTAATTCATAGCAAGTCACCTGCAATACTCCCACAAGACACAATTTGCTTGAATTTGCACTAGCAAATCACTACTGTTTATATAGGATTTGATTAAATCGTGGTGTGTATGAGTAAATGCAATGCTAAAGCAAAATAATCTGACATTATTTGTCTCTCTCTCTCCCCCGTGCCCTCCTATTTCTCACATCTCTCTGTAAAGGTCGAATTTAATAGGATGACATTGAGTTGATATGACATACAAGAATCTTTTATTGCTTTGACTCTCTCTCTTGCTCTGTCTATGGAAAATATTGTTAATTAGAGTAGTTAAGGCACCCCATGTTAGCATGGTAGTGAAACACCGCTGCCAAAGGCTCAAACATTCTAATGAAAGAGAGGTGTGAGCAGGCCATCTTATAAAAACATCATTGCTTTAGTGCTGATATCATGCTGCCTGCCAGAGAGGCCGATGGAGAGGATTCAGATTAACTGCAATTCCTGTTTCATCACACCTGGAAAACACAGCATAACTGATGCCTCTTTCATTCATTCATTTTGTTTTTCTTTCTTTTAGTTTATATTAGGGCTGTAAGTTTAACGCATTAACTTAATTCATTAGTTCTGAAAAAGTACGTGATTAAAATATTTTAACGCAGTTAATGCATTGGCCCCGCCCCCAGACCCGTACGTCATCTTACAGTCCATACAGTTGACTGTTGACAAATATGATGCAGGACAACAAATCCATAAATGCAGTTATGCTCCTAAAATTCAAAATATTGGGGCAAAAAAATGCCCATGTATGAGTTTGTCTCATAGTCTATTTATATAATTTATACCAATATACCAATATATACCAATATATACTATTTATACCACATGAGCAGCGAAAGCTGTATCACATGAGTGCTGTTTTGTCACGAATATCACGAGTTTAAATGTGATTTTATACAGCAGTTCAGTAAAAGTAGTTAATATTGTGTTATATTTTAAACACAATACTGTCTGTTTTGCTCAATTTTGCAGAGAAAATATTACCTTTAAAGCCACAGCAGAACTGTTGTGGATCTGTGAGCAACACAGCGGTGTTTAGTTTCTGACAGAATCTGCGTTTTGAACGAATCCAATGATTCAATAGCGTATTCATAAACTGAGCTGTTTACTTCATTCCTGAATGAATCAGCAGTTTGAACGAATGAATGAATGAATGAATGAAAAAGAACTGTTGGTAACTAAGCTGTTTTGGACTTTCATTGTATGAACAAAAAAATGAGTGGTTATGAATGAATGAATGAAACACATTTGTCTGTATTTCACTCCGTCTCTAATCGCACTCGCGGAAAGCGCTTGAGAAACAGTGTCTCTTCCGCAGCTCGGTACGCTTTCAACTTGTTTTTTTACTCGCGGAAAGCGCTTGAGAAACAGTGTCTCTCTCGCAGCTCGGTACGCTTTCAACTTGTTTTTTTAGTCTCAAGCAAGACTGTACGACATTCACATTACATGATTAGACTGTTTTTTTTACGTAGAAAGGGCGACAGCA